CCCCCCCCCCCCAAAGGCGCGGACTGCGACCGCGCCTCAACATAGACAAACCAGGGGAGGGCTGGGTGGGCATTCCTCCTCGGAGGCGGTTCCGGCTCCGGGCTTGACCACCACCCTTCAATACTCCCCCCGTAGTGCCCCTGGTCCGGTCTGGCCCCGCTGGCTGGAGCTGGACTGGACATCGTAGGAGCGGATTGCTTCAGCTCCGGTGTGGAGCAGGTGACCGGTACCTGACCAGGCACCGGTGACCCAGGCACGGGTTGTGCCGGACTGACGACGCACACCCCTGGCTTGGTGCGTGGAGCAGGAACGGGCCGGACCGGACTGACGACACACACCCCTGGCTTGGTGCGTGGAGCAGGAACGGACCGGACCGGACTGACGATGCGCACCCTTGGCTTGGTGCGTGGAGCAGGAACGGGCCGGACCGGGCTGACGATGCGCACCCCTGGTTTGGTGCGTGGAGCAGCAACGGGCCTTACCGGGCTGACGACTCGCACCCCTGGCTTGGTGCGAGTGGCAGGAACAGGCCGGGCCGGGCTGACGACTCGCACCCCTGGCTTGGTGCGAGTGGCAGGAACAGGCCGGGCCGGGCTGGCGACGCGCACCGTAGGCTTGGTGCGAGTGGCAGGAACAGGCCGGGCCGGGCTGGCGACGCGCACCGTAGGCTTGGTGCGAGTGGCAGGAACAGGCCGGGCCGGGCTGGCGACGCGCACCGTAGGCTTGGTGCGAGTGGCAGGAACAGGCCGGGCCGGGCTGGCGACGCGCACCGTAGGCTTGGTGCGAGTGGCAGGAACAGGCCGGGCCGGGCTGGCGACGCGCACCGTAGGCTTGGTGCGGGGAGCAGGAACAGGCCGGGCCGGGCTGGCGACGCGCACCGTAGGCTTGGTGCGAGTAGCAGGAACAGGCCGGGCCGGGCTGGCGACGCGCACCGTAGGCTTGGTGCGAGTGGCAGGAACAGGCCGGGCCGGGCTGGCGACGCGCACCGTAGGCTTGGTGCGGGGAGCAGGAACAGGCCGGGCCGGGCTGGTGACACGCACCGTAGGCTTGGTGCGAGGGGCAGGAACAGGCCGGGCCGGGCTGTGGAGACGGATAGGAGGCCTGGAGTGAAGAGCGGCCACAACCCGTCCAGGCTGAATGCCTACCTTCACACACTCTGTGTGAGGCATCCGCACAGGACGTACAGGGCTGTGTACCCGTACTGGCATAACAGCACGTGACACTGGCGCAGGATATCCGGGACTGAGGAGAGGCACTGGAGACCACGAGCGCTGAGCCGGCACACTCCGTTCTGGCTGCATGCCCACCTTCGCACGACACGTGCGGGGTGCTCGTGGCACAGTACGCAGCTCCGCATACCGCGGAACCTGCCCAGTCCCATGCTGCCATGCCTGAGTACGGGGAGTTGGCTCTGCTCTCCATCCAGGCTCCGCCAACCTGCCTTCTGGCCCCCCAAACCCGGTGGCCTCCTCTCCAAATCTCCCAAATCGCCCTGTGGCAGCCTCCTGCTGCCCAGTCGCACATGCCGTGTGCCCCCCCCTAAAAAATTTTTGGGGTTGCCTCTCGTCCGACCAACGACGACACTGTTTACGCCGTTGCTCCTCTCTACGTCGCGCCTCTACCGTCTCCCTCCATGGACGGCGATCCATCCCGGCCTGGATTTCCTCCCAGGTCCAGGACCCCTGCCCGTCCAAGATCTGCTCCCACGTCCAGGCTGCCTGCTCCTGGACACGCTGCTTGGTCCTGGTATGGTGGGATCTTCTGTCACGATCGTTATAGAGAGTAGACCAAGGCGCAGCGTGATGAACGAACATATTTATTTAAATAATGAATGCACGAACAAAACGAAAACGTGACGTCCTACGGTAAACACAACCCAAACGGAACAAGATCCCACAAACACGAATGGAAAACAGACTGTTTAAATATGGTTCCCAATCAGAGACAACCAGCCACAGCTGACACTCGTTGCCTCTGATTGAGAACCACACTGGCCAACATAGAAATAGAACACATAGACCTACCACACAGAACTAGAATACATAGAATCTACACACCCTGGCTCAACATATAGAGTCCCCAGAGCCAGGGTGTGACAGTACCCCCCCCCCCCAAAGGCGCGGACTGCGACCGCGCCTCAACATAGACAAACCAGGGGAGGGCTGGGTGGGCATTCCTCCTCGGAGGCGGTTCCGGCTCCGGGCTTGACCACCACCCTTCAATACTCCCCCCGTAGTGCCCCTGGTCCGGTCTGGCCCCGCTGGCTGGAGCTGGACTGGACATCGTAGGAGCGGATTGCTTCAGCTCCGGTGTGGAGCAGGTGACCGGTACCTGACCAGGCACCGGTGACCCAGGCACGGGTTGTGCCGGACTGACGACGCACACCCCTGGCTTGGTGCGTGGAGCAGGAACGGGCCGGACCGGACTGACGACACACACCCCTGGCTTGGTGCGTGGAGCAGGAACGGACCGGACCGGACTGACGATGCGCACCCTTGGCTTGGTGCGTGGAGCAGGAACGGGCCGGACCGGGCTGACGATGCGCACCCCTGGTTTGGTGCGTGGAGCAGCAACGGGCCTTACCGGGCTGACGACTCGCACCCCTGGCTTGGTGCGAGTGGCAGGAACAGGCCGGGCCGGGCTGACGACTCGCACCCCTGGCTTGGTGCGAGTGGCAGGAACAGGCCGGGCCGGGCTGGCGACGCGCACCGTAGGCTTGGTGCGAGTGGCAGGAACAGGCCGGGCCGGGCTGGCGACGCGCACCGTAGGCTTGGTGCGAGTGGCAGGAACAGGCCGGGCCGGGCTGGCGACGCGCACCGTAGGCTTGGTGCGAGTGGCAGGAACAGGCCGGGCCGGGCTGGCGACGCGCACCGTAGGCTTGGTGCGAGTGGCAGGAACAGGCCGGGCCGGGCTGGCGACGCGCACCGTAGGCTTGGTGCGGGGAGCAGGAACAGGCCGGGCCGGGCTGGCGACGCGCACCGTAGGCTTGGTGCGAGTAGCAGGAACAGGCCGGGCCGGGCTGGCGACGCGCACCGTAGGCTTGGTGCGAGTGGCAGGAACAGGCCGGGCCGGGCTGGCGACGCGCACCGTAGGCTTGGTGCGGGGAGCAGGAACAGGCCGGGCCGGGCTGGTGACACGCACCGTAGGCTTGGTGCGAGGGGCAGGAACAGGCCGGGCCGGGCTGTGGAGACGGATAGGAGGCCTGGAGTGAAGAGCGGCCACAACCCGTCCAGGCTGAATGCCTACCTTCACACACTCTGTGTGAGGCATCCGCACAGGACGTACAGGGCTGTGTACCCGTACTGGCATAACAGCACGTGACACTGGCGCAGGATATCCGGGACTGAGGAGAGGCACTGGAGACCACGAGCGCTGAGCCGGCACACTCCGTTCTGGCTGCATGCCCACCTTCGCACGACACGTGCGGGGTGCTCGTGGCACAGTACGCAGCTCCGCAAACCGCGGAACCTGCCCAGTCCCATGCTGCCATGCCTGAGTACGGGGAGTTGGCTCTGCTCTCCATCCAGGCTCCGCCAACCTGCCTTCTGGCCCCCCAAACCCGGTGGCCTCCTCTCCAAATCTCCCAAATCGCCCTGTGGCAGCCTCCTGCTGCCCAGTCGCACATGCCGTGTGCCCCCCCCTAAAAATTTTTTGGGGTTGCCTCTCGTCCGACCAACGACGACACTGTTTACGCCGTTGCTCCTCTCTACGTCGCGCCTCTACCGTCTCCCTCCATGGACGGCGATCCATCCCGGCCTGGATTTCCTCCCAGGTCCAGGACCCCTGCCCGTCCAAGATCTGCTCCCACGTCCAGGCTGCCTGCTCCTGGACACGCTGCTTGGTCCTGGTATGGTGGGATCTTCTGTCACGATCGTTATAGAGAGTAGACCAAGGCGCAGCGTGATGAACGAACATATTTATTTAAATAATGAATGCACGAACAAAACGAAAACGTGACGTCCTACGGTAAACACAACCCAAACGGAACAAGATCCCACAAACACGAATGGAAAACAGACTGTTTAAATATGGTTCCCAATCAGAGACAACCAGCCACAGCTGACACTCGTTGCCTCTGATTGAGAACCACACTGGCCAACATAGAAATAGAACACATAGACCTACCACACAGAACTAGAATACATAGAATCTACACACCCTGGCTCAACATATAGAGTCCCCAGAGCCAGGGTGTGACACCCCTTACACACACACACACACACACACACTTTTAATAATATTGAAAATGGGTCATGTTTGCTATAAAGATATGTGATCACTTTTATAGATGGCCATTTAATGCATTTATGTATCCTGTCTTTAGGACAAATAGGACACATAAAAACTCACACATACACACACACACACACACACACACACACACACACACAGTTACTGCAAATGCTTTATGGGCTACACATTCCCCACTTCTCTCTCCCTCGTGCCCATGCACACACACACACACACACACACACACAAGCACCGTAATTGACGGATCCACCATTAACGGGTGGTCTTCCTCGGTTGCCTCCTCAAGGGGCTCGGCCTCAACTTCGGTTAACTCGTCTGTCTGTGCTGTCTGCAGAGTCGCTGATGGTGACGACGCTCTCCGGCTCAGGGTCAAAAAGTAGTCGGCAATAAGTTCACGCCACTGATCGTCTGAACCAGCTCCCAGCAAAACATTACTATTTAGAAATCTAGCGATTTCTCTCTCCTGGGAATCCATTGATGCAGTAGAAAGCTAAGCTAGCTAGCTAGCTAAGGTGTAGGCAGTAGTGACAGTGTGACTATGTATGATGGGTTTTGAAGTGTGAGAGAGTGTAGCCTGAGGTACACTTTTTGTTTTCCTGCGATGATATGCTACAGTAACTTTGATTGGGCAAACAGGGAAATCGTCTGATTGAAAAGCCTAGTAGCTTGAATCAAAATATATAGCTGATTTCAGAATAGCGGAGGGTTTTAATAGTGTAGATAAGATAGTGCCGCAAAAGCCTGATGTGATGACAGGTGTTACAAGCTGGCATCCACCAATACAATGTGAAAGTGCTCCTCCTACGTTTATAAGATTCAAAACTATATTTATAATCTGAATTTGTCAATAGTACGTAGAGATTATGAAAGCAAATACATTGTTTTGTTAAAACCAGATGAAATATATATATTTTTTATACATATATATATTTTTGTATTTTACCCCCTTTTTTCCCCAATTTTGTGATATCCAATTGCGATCCAATTACGATCTTGTCTCATCTCTGCAACTCCCCAATGGGCTCAGGAGAGGCGAAGGTCGAGTCATGCGTCCTCTGAAACATAACCCGCCAAACCGCACTCTTAACCCGCCCGCTTAACCCAGAAGCCAGCCGCACCAATGACATCCTAAGTCAGCCTGCAGGCGCCCGGCCCGCCACAAGGAGTCGCTAGAGCGTGATTAGCCAAGTAAAGCCCCCCCCCGGCCAAACCCTCCCCTAACCCAGACAACGCTAGGCCAATTGTGCGCCGCCCTATGGGACTCCCGGTCACGGCCAGTTGTGACAAAGCCTGGGATTGAACCCGGCTCTGTAGTGACGCCTCAAGCACTGCGATGCAGTTCCTTAGACCGCTACGCCACTCAGGAGCTTTACATGTACGTGTTGGTGAGAGTCTCACCTTTGCACAGAGGGGTCATATTAGTGTTTAGCCCAAACTTTTTCGGATGCTACAGACAGAAGTTGGCTGATCGGCTGTACCAACTTCAGACGAGTCCCAAGACGCTTGTGGGGGTCATAATTGTTTCTAGGCTGAGAACACCGATTTTCGGGTTGTTTTATGGTCTGACAAACATCGCTCTAGCTTTATCACCTTTCACCGCAGATGCAGAAGTGCGACATTGGCGGATGCGGTGGATTGAGACGCATCCAATGCAATAAAACCGACATCTCTTTTTATTATTATGCTAATTCGATTTCAGCGTGGTGCAGACATCGACTTTAGGGGGTTAAACTAGAATCACAGATTTACGGGAGTGAAACATCTCGCTTCGCCGCTCTCATCTGTGAATACTCATCTGTCGCTTCAATAAAATTTCTGTACATGTTTTTGAGTTATATCATGTTGTTATGTGTCTTATATACCAATCCGTCACCTCACAGGAAGTCCCCTCTCAGAAAATGAAATTGATCAAAAACAGCTGTAAATATCACAGAGTGGGCCTTTAACTCTGTTATTTGAATACTAATGTGTGTGTGTTTGTCTATTCCACAGCCACCATTGTGCTGAATGAGCTGAACTGGACAGACGCATTAGAGGACGTGTTTAGGAAGAACAAGGAAGAGGATCCTACTCTCCTGTGGCAGGTGTTCGGCAGCGCCACCGGATTGGCTCGCTACTTCCCAGGTGAGTGGCCAGCCAGCCAATCGGCTTGCGCCCTCAGCCCATGACCTTCCAGTGGCTATTAATGGAGACGTAATGCGCTGTGCCACCAAAGGGCCACTTTGTCACACCGTATTTACTCAGCACTCACATACACACACACACTGAAAGAACACACAGAAAGAGAGAGAAAGCTCACTCTCTCTCACTCGCTCACACACACACAGAGCTTTCTCTCTCTCTCTCTTTCATCGCTCGGACAGCGCTCGAGCGGGAGGACGGGGAGGAGCGAGAGCGGGGAGCGCGCGCGCGAGAGAGCGACGCGAGAGAGCGGGGGGAGAGCGTAGTGCGTAAAGAGAGGGAGAGCGAGAGATCTCGAATGGGCACCGCTGGCGGGAGAAGAGGGGGAGGGAGAGAGGCGAGAGAGCGAGAGAGCGAGGGAGAGAGAGAGAGCGATCTCTCTCTCAGGGAGGTTCTCCTCTCTATCTCTCCTCTCTCTCTCTCTCATCTCTCTCTCACTCTCTCTCTCTCTCTCTCTCTCTCGGCCTATCTCTCTCTCTCTCAATCACAGAGCCACACCAAACACCACACGCCGAGGCTGGGCAAACAGTGAGTCATGGCGATCCCTGTGTTTGTCACCAAGGGTAGTTCTGGGCTTGTTGACACACACAGAGACATGGACAGAGACAGGGATGGGGACAAGGACACTGGGACAGGGACAGAGACGGGGACAAGGACACTGGGACAGCCATCAATAGACTCCTTATTCCCAACCTCTGACATGACAGACCTGGAAAGCACTTTGTGAAAATTGTTAATGTAGAAAAGTTGTTCTAAATATATTTCAGATTCATTATATATAATAACAAAGAATAAGGTTTCAGCTGAAACTTTAAGTGTGTGCTAAAGCAATCTATTCAATCTTTATGATAGGAAGTTAAACTGGGATTCAAGTAAGTTTAAGTTGAGAAAACATAAGAAACCTGCACACTGCTCTTGCTAGTATCATTGCTCTTTATTAAGCTTTACGTATCGGCCTCAAGGCCTTCGTCAGAGCTTTTGTGAGTGTTTTTAATTTCCCCCATTATGGAGACATTGCTCCACCCACATCCGTTCAATGCATCGAATGGGGTTGAAGTCAAGGAAAATGAAACGTGCTACCAAATATAACAATGTGCATTTCATAAGTATTCTATTAAAATGTATTCAACACGTCTGTAAAACAACATTTAGAATTTTGAATCAAAGTAAGTTGAAGTTAAAATGCAGTGTTTAAAGTCAATAAACTGTTATGTTGTACGTAACATTCAGCTGGTTAGGAGTCTATGTCTGGACTCAAATTAAGCATTATGTTTTTACTGTGAAGTGTTTTGTCTTTTCAAATGCACTTTAAATAAAGTTTCATTTGATTTAAATTGTCTTTGTACCCAGCATCCCCTTGGATGGACTCGCGAAAAACGCCCAATAAGATTGACCTCTACGACGTCCGGCGGCGACCGTGGTGAGTGGAGACACTGAGTCGCCGTCTGTCTCGTCTGTCTCCTCATCCTCCATCAATCCATCTGTCTCTCAGAACGAACGTTCCCTGCCCTGCTTGAACCTAGCTGTGTGGTCCCCATATTAAACACTGTTTGAGACACACACATTTATGCAGACACACACACACACACACAAAAATTTGCATAACCCTCTTACTTTACCATTGACATTTAAAAGTCAGACTGCTCTTGACAATGTTTTTTTTTCTGTTGGTTTATTTGTTGGAATCATTAGATATAAGGTAAAAGTTTCAAGGGTTTTTTCACCGCTGTATTTATTTGTTTGTTGGTTTACCAGGTACATCCAGGGGGCGGCGTCACCTAAGGACATGCTGATCCTAGTGGATGCGTGAGTGACTCTCTTTTTGTGATTCATATTTACAGTCAGGATCCATTTCATTACCAGTCATAAAAACAAGCTCTGTCTTCCCTGTAATGCTGAGCTTAGGGCTGCATCAGCACTCCCATGACTTTGAGATACTGAGGAAATAGAATACTTGATGAACCATAGAGAAACCATCTTTTGTTTTGCTGTGAACGTATACCTAAGAATTCTCAAACACGATTGCATTTGTGTTTACATTTTGATATTTTAGTAATCTTATTCACAGTGAATTACAGTCAGCGGTTAGTATTACACAGACCTTACACATAGTTACTACCGGTGATAACCTATGTAATAACATCGTAACAGGCTAATAAGTACACATTTGTCATTGTTTTACACCAAAAATATAAAACAATATGACAATAGGAATTGTCCGTTGAAAATGGAAAAAACATATAGGTGTCGTAATGGAGTGCCTACAATTTAGGAACTCACTTAATCGTTTTCTTGTAAAACTAAAGTGACAGTGGTTGTGTAACTACTGCTACTACGTACACACCTGATACAAGGCAATTACGCAAGACTCCCTAGAAACTCCCACAATACTCCCTGGGTATATGGCTATTTAATGTAAAGTACATCAGAAATCACTTGGAAACTTGGAAAAGTAGAGCAAGAGAGAACTTTGTCTTACAGCTGCAAGATGTAACTTTTTGGGAGACCTGACCAAATTCACATAGAAATGTGAGTTATTGATCTGTCATTCTCATTGAAAGCAAGTCTAAGAAGCGGTAGATCTGTTCTATGTGTGCTATTTCTATGGTTCCCGTTCTTAAGTTTTGTTTTTGCGGCTTCGAAAAGCTGAAAATACAATATTTTTGGTTATGGAAAATATATTTCACAGCGGTTTAGATGGTACAATGATTCTCTACACTATACTTGCTTGTTTTGTCACATAAATAGAAATTCGGCTAACTATTTCAATTTTAACAACCAGGAAATGGCGGCGCGATTTATGCATAGTGCATCTTTAATCAAACCACTATATGCTATTGTATCAACTACACACTAGGCTATCAATGTCATGTATAGCAAGTTCATCAGCAAATCCCTGCTGTGTACATAACATGTATGACAGTATCATCTTATTATGTGCTAGGGAGAATAGCCTATAGGGAGTTTTTTTGTTGCCGTTGTCATGGTATTAAAACGATTTGTCTATATTAGACGGGTAAAGCCCGTGCTACCGCGACGCACCATGATTAATTGGCTTTGCCTGGAATGGGACGTCTGGCACTGCGCCAGCACCTAAATGAGAACAATAAAAAAGATATATATATATATATATATATATGAAAAATCAATTTTGCCCCCCGTAGCTCTTGACGCGAGATAGATAATTGGTGGGCCTGATTGACAGGCTATTTCAACATCAAAGCTGTGCCGCTGCCGTCGTCGTGACAACCGAGCAGAGGGAATATAAAATATAGAACCCTTCACTCCTCCTTTTTTCCGTTCTGTCCGTTTTTTCTTTACCTGCAACCAGTTAAAGCATGTATTTATATATAGACCATCTGCTCTCAAGCTCTCAACTTCTCTCACTTCCAATTTTAGCTTGAGTGGTGCTATGTTCAAGTGTAGGCCTACATCATTAAATGTCCTATCCTCGGCGCCGTTACGACAACACAAAATGTCAGAGTTAAAGTGACTCACTCTATGCTAATGTTAGCCTTTCATTCAGCGTTAGTGTCGGCAAGAGGAGGTATGGTGATTAGCGCTTTAAGTCCACTGCTGGGTTAGCCTAATGACGCTAGCCATTTCCCCTCACATGTTTATCCTGATAGGCCTATATCTAGAGAGCCTATTAGTGTTAGCTAAAAGCCTAGTAGTCACGCGGCATGTGGTTGTTTTAATGCCTCTATCTCTGCCTGTGCCCCAAATGGCACCCTATTCCCTATACTGCACTACTTTTGACCAGAGTCCCATAAGGCGCTAGTCAAAAGTAATGCACTGTATAGGGAATAGGGTGCCATTTAGCAGACTGCCCATGTCTTCCTCTTCATTACACTCAATGTTAGTTTTATAGCTTCAGCAAATTTAAAGGCAATGTCTTTCTGGGCCCCTGAGTGCTAACAGGCTAGTTAGCCTTCTTATTGCATATGTTATGGCGGCACCACACTTAGGCCTAGTGGTAAATATGAATTACAATATGGTGGTGTTGGTTAAGTCAAATACATTTGTTGTTTATATGGTCTGGTTCCCCTTGCTCATTACTTTGCTGTGGATATAGATGTGTTCATCTAAGAGATTTTCAATTGAAATTCATCCACACAAACAAGAGAAATACAACAACATACTATTTTAACTCTTGGCTGAAGGAAGCGATCCAGTTAAAGTTAAATCCAGATCAAACAAACACATATTTGTCTGGAGAACATAGTCATATATGTGTAATATCTGGTAATAACATGTTCCTGTGGCACTTGATACCCTTTCTCTCCTTCCTGTAGGAAGGTCCACACCTCCAAACCAGATGATTTTCTTGGTTATTTCCCCATTACATTATAGTAATAGGCATGTAATAACACAGTCATAGATATGTAATAACAGTTTATAACCTCTGTCCATAGGAGTGGCAGTGTCTCTGGCCTCACCCTCAAGCTAATCCACACCTCTGTCAACGAGATGCTGGAGACCCTGTCGGACGATGACTACGTCAATGTGGTCTATGTGAGTATCCATGGCAGTTGGCAGAACGTGGTCTTTACACATAGGCTACTTATAGAACTAATGGACTGTGGTCTTTACACATAGGCTACTTATAGGACTAATGGAATGACTTTGTGCTAGTCGTTAATGTGTTTGATGAATGGGTTCTTGGAATGAAAAGCCAACTGACATTTACTCTTGAGGTACTGACCTGTTGCACCCTCTATAACCACTGTGATTATTATTTGACCCTGCTGGTCATCTATGAACATTTGAACATCTTGAGGAACGATCTAGCCTTAATTGCCATGTACTCTTACAGTATAATCTCCACCGGCACAGCCAGAAGAGGACTGGCCACCCCTCAGAGCCTGGTTCCTCTCTAGGTTTCTTCTTAGGTTCCTGCCTTTCTAGGGAGTTTTTCCTAGCCACCGTGCTTCTACATCTGCATTGCTTACTCTTTGGGGTTTTAGGCTGGGTTTCTGTATAAGCACTTTGTGACATCTGCTGATGCAAAAAGGGCTTTATGAATAGAATTCATTGACATTTGATTGAACCTATTGAACTAATGTGATCTTAGTCCTTATTTAGAGTTATGTGCAGAATGGTGTGTGTGGGTGTGTCTGGCCTTTTGGTTAAAGTGATCTGGATGAGTGGATGGATTTGTATGTCTTTAATCAGATATGGGCTTGAATGCACACATGAATGTACTGTGTGTGTGTGTGTTTTCGTTTGCATACGTGCATATGTGCCTATAGTTATGTGTGTTCAGTGTGTCTGTGTTCAGCAGAGCCAAGTGTATCGGAGCTTAAATCCGGGGCATGCGTAACTAACTGAACGGCAGCCCATGTGGGCGCCAGCCAGACAAGACGATATGAGAGCGGCGAGGAACACACACACACACAGGCTTTCTTGTTATGAAATATCATCAGTCTTCTTATTCTTATACAGGGTTCATTAGCTCTGCCTGAAAATCTTTAGTTGGCAGACAAGTAGACACCTTTGTTCACTGTGGTGTGTGTCTGTAGCGGTAGTTTGTGCACTGAGGTGTGTGTAGCAGTGATCTCTGTAACTGGAGTGTGTGTATGGCAGTCATCTTTTCTTGTGTGTGTAAATGTGGACAGAATGATATCTGTGCCCCTTTTGAAACGACTCATATTAGTATTTCTAACCACAGCCTGTACCAAACATCAATGCCTTAAAACACAGAGTCTTATTCCCCGTCATGTGTGGAGTGTGTGGAGTGTATGGATTGTGTGGGTGTGTATGAACTGATATGTATGGGTCATCCTCTGTCTCAGTGTGTGACTTTTCTATTTCTCTTTCTCTGTCTCCCTTTTTCATTCAGTTCGATGATAATTCAACAACTCACCCTACCTCTTTCTTTCTCTCCCTCCTCTCTTCTCTCTCTCTCTCTCTCTCTCTCTGTTCTCTCTCTCTCTCTCCCTCCCCCTCTCTCTCTCCCCCCCCTCTCTCTCTCTCTCTCCCTCCCCCTCCCTCCTCTCTCCCCCCCCTCCTCTCTCTCTCCCCCCCCCCCCCCCCCCCTCTCTCTCTCTCTCTCCCCCTTCCTCCCCTCTCTCTCTCTCTCTCTCTCTCCCTCCCCCTCTCTCCATCTATCTGTCTGGTACAGTTCAATGATAAAGCGGTGAAGGCGGCGTGCTTTCAGAACCTGGTCCAGGCCAACGTGAGGAACAAGAGGTTCCTGAAGGATGCTGTGCGGAACATCTCAGCCAAGGGCATCACCAACTACAAGGGCGGCTTTGAGTTGGCCTTTGAGCAGCTCTCATCGGTAGGGGATGAGAGTGTGTGTGTGTGTGTGTGTGTGTGTGTGTGTGTGTGTGTGTCTGTGTGCTATAGTTTGCTGTGTTTGAATGTATGCACGTACATGCGTGTGTGCATGAAGTTAAGTGTCAGTTAGGAGGGACTGTGGTGTGGTCTGTGTGCGTGTGCATGTGTGAGTGCGTTCAAGGGAGTGAGCGAGAAAGCGAGAGGGAGAGAAGAGGGAGGGAGAGAAGCATGGCCAGTGTGTCTACAAAATTTTTAACATTTCCCTTGTATTTTTCCATTCCAACTCTTCAGACTTTGTGTCCCCTGTGTTTTCATCAGCCCACATGGTTGATATAATTCATAGAAATTGAGACATTAGATTAGCTTGAATGATGAGAATAACAATGGAAACACAAGCTACAGTACTAATAATCACCCCAGAGGAGACCATCTATTATTGTTGTCATGTATCGCCATCTGCTGGTGATTCTGGGCATTTTACTCTTCTATTTATTTCTATCACTTGGGTCGTAATTCATTAGGGCACACCCTAGCAAAACTCCCTGTTTCAGTCCGTTTTCCTCCATTTGGTTCCTAATGAATAAGACCCTGATGGTGATACCTTAAACCTTTTCCATCAAACCTTGTGTTGATAGGGTGCCCACTTTCATAAAGGAAATTAAATTATTTGTAAAAAGGAAGGTCAGCACTCTTAGAATGAAGTTTATTGAAAGGAAAATAAGTGGATTTAATTACATTTTAGTCATTTAGCAGACGCTCTTATCCAGAGCGACTTACAGGAGCAATTAGGGTTAAGTGCCTTACTCAAGGGCACATCGGCAGATTTTTCACCTAGTCGGCTCAGGGATTCGAACCAGCGACCTTTCGATTACTGGCCCAACGCTCTTAACCACTAAGCTACCTGCCACCCCAGCAATGTTTTGTCCAGGTCTGACCTTTTCAATTCAATAAATCTTTAACGTCCCATCCTAAAGATCAATGAGTTTGAGTAGAGGACAATTAAATGAGAAACAATAACAATTACAAGACCTGGGGAAATATTTGTTCAAGATGCAATAAAATGATCTGTCAATAACTGATTTCTTTTCTGATGGTTTTTAACTACACAGTGCATTGTAAACCTAATCACTGAGGCTTTAGTAAATTAAATGACATAAAATGTATGTTAAGTTTTGCTTTCACCTCCCCCCGTCTCTCTCTGTGTCCCTACTCCACCCCCCTCTTCCCCCTCTCTCTCATTCTCTCTCTGTACCCA